ATATACTATTTTGGGCGTTTTAAAAAGATCTACCCATATTGAATATGTTCCATTTTTAACTTAATTTTTTGGAATTTATTGTTTGTAAATTGATGATATGACTATAAGTGAGAAAATCTCTACCTTGAATTATACAATTATATATGACTTATGCTTTCCCAAAAAAAAAATCAAAAAATTTAAATAAGGTAAACTAATTATAAATTATTTTGTACTTTAATGTTATATTTTAAATATTTTTCTTCTCTTATTTTATGTGATTGATTCTATATAAGATTAATATTATGAAATGGAAGGAGTAACATATATAGAATCAATGACACAAGTAAATAAATAAAAAAAAAAAAATTCCACGTTATTATCCATTGAATATCTACCCAATAAAGATGTAATGCAATAGGTTTAAAATTCCAAATCTTGTGGATAAATTGCTTCATTGTAAACTGCAATAATTTCAGTAAATTATTAAAAGTATAGATGTGCGGAATCTAAATAAAAGTGAGTGCGCAGACTGTTCACTTGTTTGAGGGTTTACGTTGGCATTTTTAAAAGTATGAAAGTCACGTGCATAAATATCATGATATTAGAGAGACTATGTTAAAAGTATACTCACTTGAATACGAACAAAACAATTATAAAACACTCAAATGATCTGATTTGAGGAAACCAAGCAACATAATTAGTAGTAATCTGTTGTTAATGACAACCAGATAACATTGGACATATTCATTGTCGCTAACTCAAGACCCTCATTATCGAATATTTCGTGTACAATTTTTAATTTTTTGGGTACCATTTCAGGGAACGAAGCTAATCTTAATTGATTAACCTAGCTACTCTCGGACAAATTTGCTCAGAATCCTAAACGTAATTTACGATAGACTTGCTGGAGTATTTGTTTGTTGTTGTGCTTCAAGTAATTTTATTACATTTAATGAAGTTTCCTACTGGCTTTCTTTACATACATAAGGATTCCACCTTAGTTGTCCTTGTTTTTCAATTCTTTGACAGATTATAAGACTATTACTTTATGATTTTTAGTGCTTATTCGACAAAATTAGTTGTTTCAATCATTATTAGTTGTGATGTGGATTAGGCACTATTATAGGTACATGACGAAGTGGTCATGTTAAACCCATTGTATCCCACTTTGTGATGTGTCCCATATTATTGGAGAAAGAGGAGAGATATTTCCACTTTAATAAGGTAGATGTAATACCCTGTATTTTTAAACCCATTTTATTTATTTATTAAATTTAAATACGAACTAATTTGGGTTTTATTTCCTTTATGGAGAAATTATTTTCTTTTTTTTTTTTTTTTTTTTTTGACGGAAGAGAAATTATTTTCTTAAACCAATATATTCATTTGTATTCATTCATTCAAATTTTTAAAATGTATTATATTATACACCTTATTTTAAAGTTATCAATTTATAGATATTTGCTAGACTCTCATGATTTCAAAGTGATTTTTAACAAGCAAATTATATTTTGCTAAACTTTATTCATAAAGTTATTGTTTAAAGACTTCAAAATGATATTAATTATAAGTCTAAACTATTTTCTAAATTATGACCATAGTTATTGGGCTATTAGCTTATCATCAATTTCATCTAGCCCATAAGAGTACTTCAAGCCCATTCTTCACTTACAAGAGTTACAACCCAAATCAGATTTTGGGAACCAAGTAAAAAAATAAAAAAAGGAAAAAGAAAATAGAAAGGCCACCCATCATCCCCAATCTTCAACATCAACATATCATTCATTTATACACCATGCTCACCCATCCATGGAAGTTTCTTCCAATTTACCTCCCCAAATGTTATCTCCCCTAAACTATAAATCTAGTGGTAAATATAATTTCTTACACTTGGAGTTCATCCACTCCATCACCATAGTTCTCAACCATTAGATGCACCTCCATTGTCAACTAATCCAAGCTTCTTCAACAGTTAGAATACATACTACTCTAAATACACTCAGAATACATACTACTACTACTACTAATGCTCAAAGGGTTATTAAAGGATACTCAGAGGGTTATTAAAGATTGGACTACAAAATAAGTGTTGATTTTAAAAAAAGGGTTAAAACAATTGTACATGCACAATTAGTTAGGATCAATGTTTTATATTGATTGTTCAAAGAGTATTGATTAGGATTATTGGATTGGTTTATTGAAGGAAGAGTGTCAATTTCGTTATTAGAGGTTTCGTGTGATTGTATGCAAAGATCAAAGTACGTATTCGTGGCTAAATATTTAAATATATGATTCTAAATATTTAAATATATGATTTTATATGCAAAGGTGTTTTACGTTTTGAATGATGAAAAATGTTTAAATGTTTATGAAATAAACATTGTGAGCATGTTTTAATAAATATTGTTGTTTGATCTTTGGAAATAATTCAATGTTCTAAAAGGTTGTTTATACATATACTTTATTTCAATTCCAATTCATTTTAAAGAATAAATGTTATTGAAATCCCATACTTGGGAATTGGAAGGTTGATTTATATCAATGATACTAATCGGATTTTTATGACTCCCACTATGCGGATATAAATGATAAGGCTATGAACTATGTATGATAAGCCTTCTTCCCCAAGTGTAGCACTATGTAAGGAGTCACTAGATTGGGGGGGGGGGGGAATGCACACTTAAGTTGGAAAAACAATTTACGAAAATATTGATCTTCCATTTATATTAGAATCCACTATTGAAAAGTCGTTAATTTTGAAGGTTGATAATTTTCAAATGTTCTATATGAGAAATTTCTAGTTATGAAAGGTTTGATTAATGATCGATTATCTACAAATGCTAAATCTTACGAAAGCATGTTTAATTAAATAAATTGATTTTACATATCTAGCGTTGGTATGTACTTAGCGTTTTGGCTAACACATATTTCTCTTTTGTTTTGGCTTGGCCCTACTTATCACTTACGATAAGTAGATAGGTAATGATGATGAGTCGACGTGATCTAAATGTTGCATTGAGAATAAAGGGCGATAATCACTTAGTCTAGGCTTCATGGTTGACGTTTTGTATGATGGCTTGGGTTCCCTTATGATTCATTTTTGAAAACTAATATTACCATTATTATTATTTGATAAAAGTTAAGTACGTATTTTTCGCCGTAAGTCTCTGTATTTTGAAAAGCCTTACATAATCACGTGGCGGTAATACTCCGAAGTTACTCTCTTAATCATGTTTATAATCATTAATTTTAGAGAGTAATTTGGGGTGTTATAGTGAGGAGTTACTCCAACTATCACCAATTGGTTTTAGTAGAAACATCCTTTGCCTTGTTTGTGGACCAAACTACTCCTTGTGTATTTGGGTTGCCTAGACCCATTTCATATCATCTCAAAATTTCACAAGTCACATGCATTGTTATGCATTATGATTGAATTGTATAGAATACGGAGTATTTGATTTAGAAAGTTAATTAATTGTAGTAGATTATGATCATATATATGCCAAGAAATTGAAGCAAGGTACGTATTTAGAATAGCTAGGGCGATCAATCATATCATAGTGCCTCATGGCCTGGTTACCAAAACAAAAATCTCCGTTACAAAGGATCGAAGCTGCATTGCAGCATTTCGATTGTCACGCTTGCATAGCTGCATGCAAATGCACAAATATGAGCACTACATTTCCTTTGTTTTGTAATCACAAAGTTTGGAATTGAATTTGACACTATGTATACATGGAACACTCTATTGATCACCTTTTGTGATTGATAGATTAGGGAATACATAATCATGTGGGGGATTGTTTGATTCGTCTGGATATATATACTTTTAAAAAATTAACTTATTATAAATTTTACTAAAATAAAATTAAATATGTATTTAATTAATGATATTAGATTTGCATTGTGAAGCGTAAAGCTACTATACCAATGTTGTAATTTAAAAAAAAAAAAAAAAAAAACCCGAAGGGAATAAAGTAAGATAAATAAATTTTCTTTAAAAAAAAAAAAAAGAAAAGTAAGATAAATAAATCATCACTTGCTTGCTCCACTCACACAATAATACTTGTATAATACTGTACTACTAGTAGAAATATACACTTCTAAAACTCCGCGTATTCCAACTAAAAGATGTATTTATGTTTATTTTACAAATAGATCAAGTATGAAATAAAGGGAATATACATGTAAAATATATAATTAGTCAAATATAACTCTAAATTAGAGGGGGGGAGAGAGAGAGTGTTTATAGTACAAGGGTTAGGCTACTGAACGTATACTCTACAGTCATGCAAAATAAAAAAAAAATAAAAAATTGGTAATAAAACAAATGATGGGTTTCAATATCAAAGAAATATAGCAGGGTTGCTATTAAGCTTAAATGCTAAGATACTGTACGTAATACTAGGTTAAAGCGATTATGGAAGACGATATCATATCAATATTCAAAATTGTTAGGAAACGAAGCTGTAATTGTCCATTAAACAAACTCAATCACTGTACCAAATCAAAAGAATTGCCGACCTAATTGCGCTGGAACTACCAGCCCAAGAGATACTGTACATGCATGCAATATCCAGCTTCCTTGTCATTTATAACTATCAAATAATTATATTCATTACTAATCAAATTAACCACATAAAAAAATCATTATTTAACTGTTGATTGATTAATTTAGCAGACGTGATTAAATTAATGTATGTTTGTATTATAAAATTTAATGCAGTTGAGAATGAAATTGTTGATCAGGTGCGGCTGCAAATGCAGTTAAAATGATATCATGCACTGTACATAAATGACAGTTGCCCCTTCATTGTTCTTCTGTAGTATACGCGCTGTATTAGACGCTACCATCATCTACTACCACTTCTTTAATATTGCGAGATGCTTTAATTATACTTACCAAGTTTAATTTAGGATAGTCGTATGTAGATTAAATAATTATTTTGACAGGTGTCAGTCGATCTTGCTATGGATGGTGAGGTGTCAGTTAATCGAACAAGGTTTTGAATTAACAATCTCATAACGAAGAAGTGCATTAATTAAAAAAAATTTAAAAATAAAAACATTATCTAACGGTTATGCAATGACTCAATGAGAGACGTGGACGGGAAGCGCCCAACACCGCAGTCCAGCCCTATATAAATAAGGGCGTTTCTGGTGCCACTCTTTCATACGAGTAAATCATAATTCAAACATCAAACCTTCACACTCTTCTCTTTCTCTCTCCTCCGAAAACAGGGGAAGTGATTATAATAAATACTACTTCGTATATTGTAGAATTGAAGAAGCTAAGAAATGGCTTTACCTGGCATAGCTAGTAAAAAAGCGGGTTCGAATATGGATATGGAAATGGGTAAAGATATTGTTTCTGACGCTTGGGATTATAAAGGTCACCCTGCTCACAGATCCAACACTGGTGGCTGGAAGAGTGCTGCCATGATCTTAGGTCTTCTTTCTCTCTCCTTTTCGTACTACTACTTTCATTTCTTTTTTTCTGCCTTTTTTTTTTTTTTTTTTTTTTTTTTTTTTTTTTTTAATATTAGACCTATTACTATATCATCGGAGTTTATATGAATACGTGCCGGTTACATGTTATGCTACTCCAACCAACTCTTCTGTTTGTGTGGTGACTGGTGAGGCTGTCTCATACAAGAATTTTGTGTTATATATGTGTTGAATACCAGCATGGGTGCAACTCAAGTGGGAATTTAATGGTTTTTAGTTGCAGAAACCAAATTACTTTATTGGGAAAAATGGAGGAAGTTGGATTGTTTTTATTTGTAAGTTATTAGCACATGTTCTGGTACACAGTATGACAAGCACCATCATATCCACTATATGATCATACATACATGCGAGTATTTTTATTTTCGTAATCAGGTTTAATTTGGAGAGATTTTGACGAATACAGTTACTATAAACTGTAAAACTTGAATCATAGAGTCAAAGACATATGCTCCGTAGATTCTCTCAAAAAAAAAAAAAAAAAAAAGAAAAAGGAAAAAATAGAAATCCTAAGGAAAAATGTGTTACTGATTCAGGAGGAGAGGCATGTGAAAGGTTGACGACACTTGGGATAGCGGTAAATTTGGTGACATATCTGACGGGAGTGATGCATTTGGGCAATGCTGCATCTGCTAATACTGTCACTAATTTTATGGGCACTTCTTTCATGCTCTGCCTCCTTGGCGGTTTTATTGCTGACACTTTTCTTGGACGGTTAGTTTTTTATTTTTACTTCTTCATTTTCCCCTTTGTTTCCATTCCCTCCTACCTACCTTTTCATCCCTTTCAAAAAGTACCTTTTTTTTTACTTTTGCTTGTTATTGTTAAGTTTTTAGCCAATTAAAAGTTTATTTTCTACTTGTATTTAGTAACAAAAACAAAATGACATGTGATTTTATTGAATATGATTCAATTTCCATTTTTCTAAAAACATGGCATCTAGTCTATTTACAGATTCATGAATCACTAACAATGATCATAATCTATTAAATATCGTGGCTTATTTTCCCTTATTGTTTTGAACAGGTATCTAACCATTGCTATCTTCGCCACAGTTCAAGCATTGGTAAGTGCTTTGATTCAACATACATAGTTAAATATCAACAAAATTTAATTATATAGGATATGTATGTATACAAGTAATACCACCCTAGTAGATATGTTAACAAGCACAAATCATATACTTGTGAGCAAATAAGTTATTAGCACAAATTTATATTTTAATAATTATAAAAGTGATAGTAGATCTAGGTTTATTATTTAAAACAAAATTCAACCCCACATTCCGACTGTATTGGAATATATTAATTAAGGGTATTCTTAACAACTTTTAAACAAGGAAATATAGGATACATGAAAACATCATAAGACCCCCCTGGACCATTATTATAATATAAAGTTTTCATGAGTGGAAGAAAATATGCGGCAAGTGCGCAAATGCATCACGATTATTGCTAAATGTTAAGTATAGTTAGCTACAAAGAAACAGCGAAATTTGCGCGATTTCATTGTTTTTTACTTTCAAGATGTCAAACAAGAAGAAATTGACAATTATTGGAGTATTAATGAGTAATTTAAGAACAAGTTTTATTATTCTTTTGGCTTAGACAAGGAACTTAGGCCCACATTCCCACTGTATTGGAATATTTAATATCAACTATTAGTGTTAATTATAAAATTATTGATGTAGACAATGAGCAATTGATATACTAGGTACGAACGAAGTATTATCAACTAAGAACTTTTTTTACGAGCAATTATTGGATGCATGCTCATAAGATTCCCATCGAAATAGCATCAATTTTTTTATTTGTTTTACTATACTAAAGCTTATAATAAAGGACCGTTTCGAAGAATATGTGTCCAAAGTTCGCGCATGACCATTATTAACCTTAATTAAAAAAAATCAAAAGTAAAAATAGATATACTGATGGTGTTTTATGATTATTTGTAACTAGGGTGTGACAGTGTTGACCATATCAACCATAGTCCCAAGCCTCCGTCCACCGGCCTGCAAAGAGGGTTCGGACACATGCACTCCGGCCTCAGACATGCAACTAGGGGTACTCTACCTAGCACTATACCTAACGGCGCTAGGGACGGGCGGTGTGAAGGCAAGCGTGTCGGGATTCGGGACGGACCAATTTGATGAGACGAACAAGGGGGAAAAGAAACAAATGATAAAGTTCTTTAATTGGTTCTTTTTCTTCATAAGTTTAGGGTCACTAGCAGCAGTGACAGTATTGGTGTACATCCAAGACAACATGGGAAGACAGTGGGGGTATGGTATATGTGCATGCTGTATTATGCTGGCTCTAGTAGTGTTTCTATGTGGTACTAGACGGTACCGCTTTAAGAAACTTGTGGGCAGTCCCTTGACTCAAATTGCTGCTGTTTTTGTCGCTGCTTGGAAGAAGAGGCATATGGAGTTGCCTTCTGATTCATCCCTTCTCTTCAATATTGATGATTTGGCTGATGGAGGCAAACATAAGAAGCAAAAATTGCCTCACAGCAAACAATTCAGGTCACTACTTTCATTATATCCATTCATATTTCTTTCTTTTTCGTTAACATGCAAGGTCGTCCTGTTTACTTTTTTTTTTTTTTTTTGGCCTGCTCTTAGATGTATGGTAGGATAAGACAACTCGACCTAGTTTCTTGTAATTTATGCTTGAATTTCAACTTATACACTTTCCAGTGTTAGGTTCATAAAAGTGATTTGATAAAATATCAATCAGCTAGTGTAGGAAATAGGTAAGAGGCACACCACAAAAAGAAAGCTTCCAATGAAGTAGTTGCATGTTAGTCGGTGCCCTGAAGATTAGACAAAGGAGACGTAACATGGTATGTTGATCACACTACATATGATGAGATCCACACCACACAACAGTTTACGCGCACATGTGACATTCCTTAAGAACTCCTTTTTCTTCTGCTTTACAATTAAGCACATAATATCTTAAATTATTAATAAGTAAAAATTATAAAAATTGAATAATAATAAATTATACATTGAGTCAATAAAATAAAATACCACTAATTAAAATGATTAAATTTTTACCACTTTCCTTGTGTGTACCAAGTTAAAAGTTTTATCTTATCAAGATTTTCTCCATAATTTGACACATAAATATTTTAGAGGAATCGTACAAGCTAGTTATTCCTACTAATTTATTGGCCACATAAATATAATTATAATCATGTTCGTTGTGAACATTAATCAATTTAAAATATTAAAGTATGCTAGACTAATAAAGTAATAGTCATTATTGGCTATTTTTAACAAGGATAAGACAAACATTTAAAGTGGCTAATATGGTATCTTGTGCCTACTTTCTTTACTTAATAGATTTTTCTTCCTTCTCAATAATTTTAATGAGTAAAACTAAGCAACTCATATGTATCAAAGAAAAATCAATTAAAATCGTATTTAGTCAATTAAAGTCTTTATATAATGAAAATGTTAGTTGATTCTTTGAACAAAATACGTGTAGATGATCTAGGTGGGCCCATGTTGATTTAGAAAATTGCCTTTAATTTTGACTATCCAAAACGATTTATGAATAACACCAGACAAAGTTTGGCCCTAGTCGTCCATGATTATTGCATAACCTATATATTTCATTGGCCAGCCAGCTTATTATTACTATTCACACATTATTGTGCCCTCATTGATTGCTCTACTTTACTACTCCTTTACTTGTTTGCTTGGCTGCCCGATGAACCCGGCTACCTGCTTTAGAAATGGAGGTCACCATCCTCCTATTTACCAAGCACATATTCCATACATATCATTAACTCACTCGCAATCGTTAAACGTTAACGACGTTTATTATCGAATTAAGAAACAAAAAATCATCTTAGAGATAATGTTACAGTCTTAGAACTTTTTACAAGGGTTTCTTTCAATTCATTAAAAAAAAAAATCCCCTCGTCCCTATAACCAAGTATATTGTCCACACCTTGCGTAAAAACACAAAGAATCAGCAGTTTTTCATGCTAGACAAAAACAAACACAAACAAGGTTGGATGAATGGAGTTTTTGGAATCTTAGGAGTAAATACACATGCTATACTTTAATTCTGGGATCATGAATATAATATTAATAATAAAAATTGTTTAACTATATATCTATATTAAAAAAATTTAAATAAAAATCTTTCAGACTTTCATAAATCATCCGATTCTCTGATAAGGACAAGGCCTTGATATTTCATCTCTTTTGGATGATCATTTTAAGCGGGGGGGGCCCTGCCTTACTGAATTGAAAAGGATAAGGGTCAGCCCTACATTATACATTTAACTTTTATAAGGGTGAAAATTGAGAATTCACACTCGGTAAATTTTGATGAGATTATAGTCATAAAGTTGTCATATTGTTATGCATGTTATAATATACTTCGTATGATACTTGTAAGTTGCAAGTCTTGTAACAACAACAATTTGGTCGTAGTTGATAGAAAAAATACGCTGAATATTATATATTCTCTGTTAGTAGTAGTAAAACAAATAATGATTGTATTGTATTATATAGGTTTTTGGATAAGGCAGCAATCAAAGATCCTAATATGCCAGCAGTTGTTACAAAGGTGAACAAATGGTACTTGCCGACTTCAACTGATGTAGAGGAAGTGAAATTGGTGCTAAAGATGCTTCCCATTTGGGCCACGACCATAATTTTCTGGACCATTTATGCCCAAATGAGTACTTTCTCCGTCTCACAAGCCACCACCATGGACCGTCACATTGGTAAATCATTCCAAATCCCGGCTGCTTCCCTCACGGTTTTCTTTGTGGGTAGTATCCTCATCACCGTGCCAATATACGACCGTGTGGTTGTACCAATAGCCTCTAGAGTCCTTCATAATCCTCAAGGTCTTACTCCACTTCAGAGGATTGGAGTTGGCCTAGTCTTCTCTATTTTTTCCATGATTTGCGCAGCTCTTGTTGAAATCCGACGTTTGAAATCTGCACAAGACCACGGGTTGGTAAACAAGCCATACGAAGTGGTCCCATTGAGCGTGTTCTGGCTTGTACCGCAGTTCTTTTTCGTTGGTGCCGGTGAAGCTTTCACCTACATTGGCCAACTTGACTTCTTCCTAAGGGAGTGCCCTAAGGGAATGAAGACTATGAGTACAGGGCTGTTTTTAACAACACTTTCTCTAGGGTTTTTCGTTAGCTCAGCCCTTGTTACCGTGGTGCACAACATTACCGGTAACAAGCACCCATGGATAGCCGATAACTTAAACCAAGGAAGGCTTGACTATTTCTACTGGTTACTTGTAGGTTTGAGCGTGGTAAACTTGTTTGTGTATTTGGTATTTGCCAAGTGGTACGTGTACAAGGAGACATGGCTAGCTGAGGAGGGGTACAAAATTGAAGAAGAAGACGGTCCAACTTGTCATTAACAAAAATAATATTAGTAGCTAATGTCATGCCTAAAAGGGATGGCAAAAGTTATTAGCAGCACATATTTTTTGCACGCTTTTTAATTTATAATTTCGGGGTAAGATTTTTAGAGGTGTGCGCTTGCTTCTTGTAATATAAGAAAACAACAGAAATCATACTTGAACTACCAAGTTTGCTTTTGTAAAGGGAAACTTTTGCTGTGTAGAATAGGTGGCCATGCAACAACAACCATAAAAAAAGGCGCACCAAAAAGTAATGGTAGATAATATATGTTCGTGAAAGGTGGGATGGTATGCAATGTAACAATTAATAAAGCTTTTTTGTTGCAAATAAGCAGTGAAGTCGATCTATCTGCTGGAAGTCTCTATTTGATATATTTTGTACTTTTGGGGAAAATGATATTTCACAAGTGCAATGCAAATTTGAGGCCCTTATTTCCCATGTCAAATTCTTGTGATGATAATAAAATTAAATATCAACAATTGTGCTTTTAAACTCCCTCTTATGTAATTTAATCTTTTTGTTTATACTATTGTATGTTTTTCAACTGCAAGGCTAGCCGACTTTGGTGCGACATGTATCCCACGTATACAAATATTAGAAATATATCTAACAAGTATATCTCTTGGTGTATATATATATATATATATATATATATATATATATATATATATATATATATATATATATATATATATATATATATATATTTGTTTATTTATTTTTATTTTTTTTGATTGATTGTTGTGATATTATATACAAGTATGATATTATCATTTTGAACATATAAATTATTTATTGATCATAATTGGATAAATTACGTAATAAACAGCTTAATATAATCTTATTGCATGCTTTTTCATATATTTGTTTGGTTTTTTTTTTTGACGTATCATATATTTTGTTTTGACTATTTGATATTCCTTAATAAGTTTCATATATATAATAATATATACTTTATACTTGATCTCATTGATATTTTATTGTACGGAGTATTATATTAAACATATTGTAGGAATCTTTGCCCTCTACAAAGGGGAATGATTCCGCTAAATTTCAGTTATCCATTTCAATACTTTCAACAGTAATACTAGAATGTTCAACTCAGATTGAAAAAAATAAAATGAGGATAGGAAACAAAATAAAGTTAGAATCCTAACTAGCTAGAAATTATTATAAAAAATAAAAAAAATAAAAAACAAAACCGACCATTGATAGAAGATATAATACTTCCTCTAATACAATGGGGTTTAAAAAAAAAATCAACTCCTCAAATCTCACATACTTGTATATGATATATCTTCAGACTCACAATCTCAAATGGTGGTCAAGTGGTGTCAGATTGGCAAAACCCACGCATATATTATTACACCAACAGTATCTCACGACTAATTAAACTCATACTAATAGTATACAATTATTAGAAATATACAAAGTATCATACGAGTATATCTCTTGGTGTATTAGTTATTATGATATTATATACGAGTATGATTATTTTTGACAAAGAGTATGATATTATTATTGTATGAACATATTACATATATATGAACATGTTAGCTAGCTTAGGAATAAAATGTGTGTATAGTAGCCGGCTAAAATAGGTGAGCTCATGCAAAGAAGACAAATTGGTATTGCCATAATCTGGTAGCTGCAAAAAAAGTCGAAATCTGATCCAATATTTAAGGATAATTAACCAAACTAAGCTTAATTACAAAACAATTTTTTAAAATAGACTTATGGGCAGATTATTTACCAAACTAAGCTTCCAGGGTAAAACGTTGTCTCGGACACCGTTTTATACCCTGTTTTTTTAAAAAAAAAAAAATACAATGTGTAAAACGCTGTCTGCGACAGCATTTTTTATGTTCACTTTTTTTTTTTAAAAAAAAAAAAAAAAATCATAATTTCTGATTTTTAAAATTTTAAAAAAAAATTCAAATACACTAAAACGCTGTCTGGGACAGTGTTTTACGTACAATAGATTTTGTACATAAAACGCTTTCTGCTGGACTGCAGCAGCTAGCAGCATCCTCACTCCAAATTCAGCCCCCAACCCACCACCCCCAGCCCCCATTCAGCCACCACCCTCCACCCCCACCCTCCAACACCACCCCCACCACCAATCCCAACCTCAACCACCATCCCCACCGCCATTCATGATCCCCGACTACCTTCCCACCACCATCGACCACCACCAACCACCACCTCCCACCACTTTCGCCCACCCTTAGCCACTTCAAACCATTCCAACCACCCCCAACAGCAATACAACCACCATGAACCACCACATTAACTACGACCGGCCATCGCTTCTACCCCGTTTCTCATTATAAAGCCCAAATGTTTTGTATCTGATATATATTAGCCTAGAATGATCTATTTTGACTGACATAAGTCCAATTTGGACAAATAAGGAAATTAAACTTCAAACCACACAGAGATTCATTCAAAAAACATTTATTATATTAATAATGTAAGTGTTATATACAACAGACTATAAAATCCGATTACAACAAATAAATCAAATAATACTATCCTGACTCATTTATTAGGGGTAACAGTTCTCTATCCTGTCTGTCGTCCCTCTGTCTAACACGACGCCGCCTGTAATGTGTAATGGTGGTAAATGGGTTTGGGGCGGTGGCGAAGTCTGCTGGATGGACGATAGGTCCTCCGGAGTAGGGGTGGGCGCAGAACTGTGGATGATGTAATCCTCTACGACTCTGAGTGACGAAGGATCACTTCCACCGCTACTCTGGCCTAACTCGAACTGTGAACGGACGGAGTGGCCTCCATGACCGTCCCGCGGGTGGACGAGATAGCCGTGACCATATCTCTGCAAGGTAGCCACGGCCATATCTCGCACCCGCTCGACCTGGGCTCTGGTGGGTCCGTCTGCAAGGGCGTTTGATAGTGCATCAACCACCGCCACCATATCCGCCGCCTGCAGTAATCATCGATTAGTCAGTTTTATGATATAGAAATTTAAAAATTGATGAAAATAAGTAAATTAAATAAACTCACATATCCGCTAATGACGTCAAAGGCTAGATGGTAATGTGTGGATGGTGGCGCGTAGCTAGGGTTGATGAAACGTCGTGTAATCCACCTGTAACGGGCCATGTATGGATCGTGAGGATCCATAACGCCCTAGATCGAATCACCGGCGACGACAAACCCCAACCGTTGCTGCCATAGGTCAATGTAACGCTCATGCTCTAGTGACTAGTTTATCTCACCCTTTCCCAGACGGTCAATACCATGCAGGCGGATACTAGTGTCACACTGCTAGGGGACAGGCTGGCGTAGTCCAAACTGTCACATGACTTGGTTGGGTACGTGACTCTCCACAACCTCGAAACAGATCATGGGGGTCCTGCCACGCCACTCTGCCTGATGATCCAGCAGATGTGCAGGCATGACATCAACTAAGTCAGCTACATACGGATCCCATGTCATCTGTAATAACACATCAAAAGTAATATCGTAAATAGGTTAGTGCACAGACAATATACATATTAAATAAATGTTTACAAATTCCTTTTAAGTTACCACCCGATCCTCGGTGAGTCGGTCAAGGGCCTCTCGGTAGTACGGAAGACTCCTCGCCACATGCGCATATGTCAGTCTGGGGACCTCCCACCTAATACCAAAAAATGTTTTAGTTTGTCAACCAGCAAAATAAAATCGTATGAGGTCTAAAATAATGACAACTGTTACAAACCTGCAACCGTATGCCTCATCAGGTGTAGGGAGCGGTGGAGAAACGTACGCCTGGTACTGCTGGTCCCGTTCCTGCTGCCTTTGACGATGTAAAGCATGCCTACCTGGTCTTCCTACATGGATGTGCTCCCAAGCTCATAACTGTAATACAAAAATACAAAAATAGGTTAAGTATAAACTAGGTAAGTAATTGTCAAACTAGATTGTTGATAATTAGGTGGGTTACCTAAAGCACAATCAAAGGACCTCCGATCTCGCCAGAACCACGGTGGGATGCTCTAAGCAGATGGCGATACAACGTCGCCAAACAGGCACTACCCCAGCTGTAGCCACTGATATGATACTAGTCGTGGTCTAACAGCTATAGGTAAATAAGCTGCAGATGGCTCCCGCTCTTGTTGCCGAATAACACGCCCGAGATGAGCAGGAACACGTATGCTCGAGCATGTCTCTGAACCGTGGCGTCATCAGCGTCCACAGGCAGCACACGAAAAGTCTTGTGTATCCAGCTGGTCCTCAACTCGGAGCCCTTGATATCGTCGGGACCTGGCTGAACCCCGAGAACCCGAGCTACCAAACCATGGAGATCAACTAACGCGAGTCCTGTCACCGCAGTCCCGTGTATAGGAAGGCGCGTGAGTAACGCCACGTCCCGCAACGTAACGGTCACCTCCCAAACAGGTAGATGGAAGGAGTGCGTCTCTTGTCTCCATCTCTTCGCGAGCGAAGTGACAAGCGCTTGATCTCTCTGAACGCCATCCGATGAATACCACGCAAGCCAACCAACTCGACTTACGGAATAACGCGTGGACCGACATCCCAGTCACCCATAACCCTAGTAGTGTAGTGCTTGCAAACTAGCATCCTCGTTGTATCAACTTGATAAATAATCGTACGACCGTAAATAATATTAAATACTATATCAATTTAACATGCATACAAGTACATGAACTAACGGATGAAATATTACCAACTAATCCCATATGTCAACGCTCCGATGTTTGTCCTGTAGTGTCAGGACAGAAGAGTCAACAGGTTCGGGTGTCCTATATTGTTCATCCATGATATCTGTTCATTAACAACGTTATATACTAATTATCAACACAATTACGAATTAACAATTAAACACGAGTAGCAATGAGGGATTAGCAATTAGGAGTGACGAATTAAAGGCAAGGACAGTTCAGCTTGCAGTTTTCTTTCTTATCTTTGGTACGCAACAGCCTTGAACATATCTCTCATGTTGTTGCTTCGCACGTGAGTTTTCAAGTTAGAAGCCATGTGGCAAACACAAAACCTGTGATAGGCTCGCGGCTTGTTGAATCCAACGTTAAGATCATTCGCTGCTGCAATGATCCTAGCATGTCGATCAGATATAACACAGAGGCCATCTCGTTGCGTAACATGAACCCAAATGCAGCCCAAAAACCAAGACCGGCTGGAAGTGGTAGCGGAAATACTTGGAAGCTTGCATCCACACTTGTAGAAACCAACAGTGTTCCTTTATACTTCTCGTACAAGGGCGTCCCATCGATACAGATAATAGGTATACAATTTTTAAAACCATCGATACAAGGACCGAAGGCCCAAAACACTCGTTCAAACACTTCCATGTTGTTGTAGTACCTGCTACCATCCGCCAGAGCTTTGTGTTTCCATACAACAACGGTTCCCGGGTTTGACTGTTTGAGTGCTTGCATGAAGTGCGGAAGTCTTCCATAAGAACTCTCGCAATCCCCAAATATTTCAGCTATAGCTTTCTCCTTGGC